TACAACTACAAATAATTCAATTATAATATGTAGAGGTAGGTACCTACTATTGCAATATTTGTTTTTCTTAACATGTACACTATACTATTTAAAAATAATCAACCAATATCTGTAGGATTACAAGTTTTTTATACTACACTTTACAGTTGTAAAGTCTCTCAAAATTTGAATCGATGGACAAGAGCGTCTGTTGACCTTGCGCAGAACATCATTTGGTATATTGCGCGCAGTCTAAGATATAATTGCACAATAACAGCCATATGTCAGCCAAAATGCAGAGTGCCGGTGACAGAATATTAAATACTGCTGGATATATTGTAGACCCCAGGTATTAATAGAAATAGATTTGGAGACGTGATTTTAGTCGTGGTTTGGCGGAACGTAGACGTATCTTGCCAATTATGTTACGAATTACATTAAGTCCTATATTATAGTAGAAGGTGAGCCAATTGTCATGGATCCCACATTTGTCGCAATTACTAAAAAAAATCTAAAGACCTAAAAGTAGTTAGGTATTGACGAATACTCTACAATCAGCAAGACTGTCAAAATAAAATGATCTCATATATTAACCCCCGAGCTTAGAGATCGCTTACCCAACAGTAGTGCTTTCGATCATACTATAGCCAGCAAAATGAACTTATTTAAAAATATAGATAAGTACTAAATTAAACTGACTGCCTCACTGGCCGAGTGCTCGCAAGTGCGACTGCCGGGCAAGGGGTCTCGGGTTCGATTTCCGGGTCGGGCAAAGTATTACTGGGTTTCTCTCAGTGGTAGCACGAAGTCTGGAACTGTGCCCGGTATATGGCAATAGGCTCACCCCCTATTACATGGGACCCATAACATAAATAGTGAAAAGTGGGTGTTATATTACAGTGAAGTGCCGTAATGTGCACCTCTGCCTACCCTTTCGGGGATAAAAGGCGTGCTGTTATGTGTACTAAATTAAAATAAATTACGTACTTGGGCGATGAGGCAGCAGACGAGGTCGAGCTAACCTCTCCTCGGAGGCTCCGACTGCGCTTGCTCGGTTCTGAAGATCCGGGCAACATGAACGGACTGCCATCAGCCTGGAACATTCGAGTATATGGTTAGTATGGTAGGTTATGTGTATAGTATACTATGCAGTATAATATGCATACAGAGTCTGAACGGAACACTTCAAAAAAACGAAGACAGGTGATGATAAAAAAATCAGTTTTATTTAAAAAAAACTAAGGAATCAAATGTTTCTTTTATGTAAAGATAGTTGTAATCAACAGCTCAAGGTCATTTACACTCTATAAAATTTTGCTAAAAATTACACACAACTAAATTTTTAGTATCTACATTTATTATTAACTAGCGACCCGCCCCGGCTTCGCACGGGTGCAATATGCATGTATTATACAGATAAACCTTCCTCTTGAATCACTTTATCTATTAGAAAAACCGTATCAAAATCCGTTGCGTAGTTTCAAACATTTAAGCATACAAAGGGACATAGGGACAGAGAAAGCGACTTTGTTTTATACTATAAAAGTGCTTGGAGGCAGGCTGGTCCGGCTCCGCAGGATAATACATAAAACACAGTGATGTTCAATGAATTCTATTTGTGTAATAATATAATCATGTTGCTTAAATATTTGTATAGTTTAAAACGTTGCACAATTTATTGTAAATGTGAGAGCCCTGTAATTAACTAAATCAAATTAGACTAGTAGATTGCATTTATGTCAGCTTGGAGTTGTCATGCTCACTCAAAGATCTCGTTGGCGGTGGCACGTGCATTGGATCGCTCGATTCCCTACAAAATGGTTGAGTTGGGCGGTGCTAGGTTTCGCCAAATGTTCGTGAACGGGCACCGTCGATTGGAACTGGTCAGCTCCAGACTGTATCATTTTATTTTATTATCCTCAAGGTTATTTTCTTTTTCAGTCTTTCTGACTGGATTTGGGTGTTGCATTGTTCTCACATAATCGAACCAATAAAACTATGTAACTAGAGAATTGTATTGTAAACCTGATTGAAAAAGAGTAACCTATGGAGTTTCTTGCTCGTTCTTCTCCATAGGAATCTACGCCTTGGAATGAGCAACTAGCTTCACTTATAAATTTTTGTTGTTTGACGTTCAAAAGTGCCATCCTGGTCTAATTGAAATAAATGATTTTGACTTTGACTTTGACTATGTAGTGAAGTTCGATTTCTATACAGTAAATTGGGTTTATTTTTACTATACTGGAAAATTAGGTTGACATAACACAATACCTGTATCTGTCCGTATGTGAAGGTTCTGTCATCGATACACGTTATATCTGTAACAAAATATATTATATTGACTTACTTTCAGGAAAAGCAACACTTCTAAAACCCTCCTAAATACACTAGAGGACAAATGTCTAGCGACACATGTCGCAAGAGATTTCAACTTTGACTTTGGTAACATCAACGTCACTGTGGACATAAGTTGCGCGTTGTCGGCTTCGCTCGACATGCCACCGATACATGTCTTGGGGCATTTGTCCCCTAGTAGTGTATCCTTGACTTAAATCTCTTATCTTCCCTCTAGTGAAATCTCTGGTAACCAATTCACTAAGTCCTGTCCTCAAAGACTTAACAACAACAAATAGACTTCGTCTATGAAAAGTTTGGCTTAATATGTTCCAAATGTTCATAAGTAACTATCACTTTAGCCTTTAGGCTTTGCATCGACGTATCGCATACCCTATTATAGAATTTTCATAGCATTTTAGACAATAATTTTCAATAAACTTTTTTTTTAATGCTACTTCTACCTAATTTTTTTAAGTTGGTTATAACCTTAAAACCTTTTATGAAAACTGCATCACAATCAGTTCACCAAAATTGCGGACAAACATACCTTCTTCTTTAAAGTCGTTTAAAAATCGAATTCATTAAGAAATCCATTTATCGAGAGAATCTTCGATACTTATTATGCCAGTATTTTACTGAACTTCCATATAATAATATACATAAACATACATAAAATAAATGCTTACCAGTCAATGCGCCGTCATCATCATCTTGTGCCCATAATTGTAGATCTTCCCTGGCTTCTCCATAGCCGCCCCATATACCAGAACAATCGTCCTGAAACAAACAAGTTCAGATTGTTAAAACGAGTCTATTGTGACACGTGAAATTATACACAACCAGTATAAATTGACCGTTAAATGTGCACAAAGATCATACAAAAAGAGAGCATGATATACTGGTTTTTATAGCTCGATGCGAAGACGTATGTAACTATTTACTAAATGAAGAAAAATGAATATTTGATTTTTTGCCCTTCTTGAAGTTCTGAAACAGTTGATCGATCGATTCTCGTACTGAACAATTTTTTCATATTCATATTCATTTAATCATTTGCAAACATGGGTACATAATATTATATGGGTGTTAACAAAGTTTACAGTTTCTCCATATTTTGCCTTCGCTTGGCATGCAAAGATGTTATGAAAAATAATTATATAATAAAATTAGGTCCATTGAATTGAATTACAAACAATTGTGTAAGTAATAATGTTGTTGGAATACAATAATGTCAAAGAAATTAGAGTTATTCATACCACTGAAGTCAAAAATAATGTCAAAATAGATATAAATAAAATATAATGTAAAATGATAATTGTCAATTATAAACGTCACACAAGCAATGTCAAATAAATTAAGTTAATTTCAATAATTATTCCATAAGAATTCCCTTCGAGATAATATTTTACATTACAGTACATTTTGTCATTAAGGAATTCTTTTAATTTCAGTTTAAACAAGCTGAGATTCCCAATTCCTAAAATACAATACGGCATTTTTTATGTGATTTAAAATGTTTTTAAAGGAAAAAGTAAAAATCACCTGAGACGGTAGTGGTGTGGTCGGTTCTACAGGTACTAATAGTGCCCTGTCTAGATGTCGATGATGTTGTATGCACCACGCCACTTCTGTTAGCTCATCTGTGTATGCACGCACTGATTCTGCGCTCAAACGTACCCACGTGCCATCCTTGTTGACAACCTGAAAGATAAAGAATGAAATTAGCTAAGGGATTTTGAAGTCGAATTTCGGTCCAGGTCCAACCTAGGTATATATGTAATTTTGATTGTTATAGGCGGAGTTTGGTATACACCTAGTGCAAACGCTGCCATTATAATAAACTAATAAAATACCTTAGTGATACATTTAAATAAGGTAATATTTTTCTTTATTTTTTTTATATTTTCCTTATGTATGTTTTTAATTTTTAAGTATCACTACATAGTATAAAACAAAGTCGCTATCCGCGGCCTGTCTGTCCCTATGTATGCTTAGATCTTTAAAACAACGCAATGGATTTTGATGCGGTTTTTTTAATAGATTGAGGAATTCTTAAGGAAGGTTTATATGTATAATACATGCATATTGCTCTCGTGCGAAGCCGAGGCGGATCGCTGGTAGTTAATAATTAAGATTGTATCCTTTCTTTTCAATTTTGTTTTAAATTAGTTAGTAGGTACTTAGATTTAGTTTTAGGCCTAAACTATCGCAATGGACAAAACTGTAATAATAGTAAAGGTAAGGTTTTAAATAAATAATAAAATAAGTAGATCTGTTTACCCCTTCAGAGGATAAAGAAAAAACACAAATATTTTTGCGATATCTTAAAAAAACAATCTTTTTAAAATGGTCGAGTAAGAGCAATGTGACTATTATTCGCAATTACAAAGTGAGTGCCTAAAAAACATTGATAACAACTAAAAAAACAGCTGAAGCCAACGTTAAACATCATCTTTTAACAAACATTCGCATGTATCTAACGGTGTGTCTACACCTGGCGAAGACTACTACTACACGCTCCGCTCACAAACAGCTTGCTATCTGCGCGCGCGTATTTTTCAAGTACAAACGCCGCCCACGCGCAGTTCGCAGGTTACTTGCAAGCTGGTGTGGACGTACCCTATGGATGTCTATGTCCCTTTATACTCCATGTCAACATTGCGCCTTTGTCCATGAAAGCAGCCTACAATCTACGATCCCTTCATACATTTTTTGCTGGATTTCATTCATATCAATGCACCGACAGAATGTAAGTACGTCGCAGCTGCCATCCGAATCAATAGGCACAACATTTTTGTATAGGTTCGATTAAAATCAGATGTTTAGTCGCGTGCGATGGGAACATGTTTTATTTTTGATGTAACGGGAAAACTTGATATAATGTCAAGTAGGTATAAAAAAATATTTTATTCGAGTAAAATGTAAGTTTACACCAGGACATAGCTTGATGTCATATACCTACTGTGTACTGAACATTATTACAAAATAATTAAGTTCAAGAATTATAACGAAGATATGGCATCCGTACATCACGAAATTGAACCTTAACATCTTATATGAGACGAGACACAATAGAAAACACATTGTGTCTCGCGTATATCTACGCTCCCGGCATACCACGGGTTAATTCAACGACTACAATAAAATATATTGGCAAAATAATAAGACTTACTTCTTCAACGAATGCAATGTTGGCGCCAGCTGGTATTCGGCCCAATTCTTCGGCCTGGAGACTGGGACTGGCCCGGACTCGGAGGCCGGCGCTGAACCGCGCAATGAAGCGCCGTAGCTTGGTCGGCGGTGTGGTGGGGAGCGCGCCGCCAGCCTGACAACTTCGCTCAGCCGGCTCCATCATACTCTCCGCCACCTCTACAGTCACTTCCTGCAACCATTGTTCCACAATAAAACTGCCATATCCCACAATAATTATTTCACTGTACCGAAATTGCTATTATCCTGCCCTATTTAGTAATAATTGGTTTGTAGTTCCGGTGCAATGTGTACTACAGAACTTTTCGAAAAAATAGCGAATTAAAAAAACGCAGTGATCGTAGGTACTGAAAAGTTTATGTCAAAGTTTGCTGTAGGTATTGAGAATTGAGATTCCTCTAAACCCAAAAGCTAGACTCAATTTCTGCAACATAATCTCACAAAACGAAAACATAAACTAATTAGAATTCCACGTAACCGATAGTAAACGATATATTATGCAGTTTATACCTGTGAAGCAGGCAAATCATCGAGGGTGCATCTGAAGACGTAAGCCCCAGCTGTTCTAGGGATCCATGTGGCTACGTAAGACCCGTCTGGGTTCTCTCGAACCGGCAGACGTTCGGCAGGAATGCGACCGTTGTGGACGAACGCACCGCCCACGGCACCACCGTCGCTCCACGACTCACTCGCTAGCCGAAGTTCCTCGAATGAGAATTCTTGATACGCCTGCAAAAGAAAAATTTATCAAAGTACTGTTTATTGTTCATGGCCATTATGCTCGATTATTAAGGATTGTAAAACACTGTCCCACGTAAACAGCATTTTATTGTATTTTTTTACCAAACATTTGCTACCAATCGCAATCTTTCGATTCGAAAAGTTTATGACAAAGACGCTACCTTAAAATTTAGCTTTATTATCGATAATAGTGATTATTATACACATAATGCGCTAGTCCCTATCAATAAGTATCTAGGTATATGTACTTATAACTTCTCCGAATATATGGAGAAATTCTCTTTAATAGATGTAAATATATACGTATCTATAATAAAAAGTGCCGGGAGTAAAGCCCTAGGTGGCTAGAGATCGACTAATTAATAGCCTAAGACATATCTAGGTTAACTCGTTTGACCTCACTGATACACGGTTCGAGAGGTTCTGTGAAAAAAATAAATAATCGTAACTGAATTTTCATAGTTAATTATTATAGGAAAACAATACTTTAATTTAAAAAGCTTTTGTTACACCATTATAATGATATGACGGTCGATACATAACTGAGTTTTGTTATTGCTGTACATGTACTCATGATTACGAAGTGCCAACTGATTTGTGTCAATTTCATTTTCCACGCGAAATACGATTAGCAGGTATTCAAATTTCAAATAGATTGCAGTTAGTGCATATACTAGAATACAAACACCTACACGGCTACGCAGTGTTCAATCACAAGAAATATTACAAAGCAAATATTATTGAAAAATGTTACACACACTACTGCTTGATTGACACACACCGATCATAAAATAAAGTCTCGTTTTTCTATTAGTAGGTATATAAGAAACGTAACAGTGCATTCGAATTACGTCTTCTCGTCGATGTCCAATTACATAAAATCCTTGCCAAGATCTCCAATTTAACGGGTTGCCGGAGCTCCGGCTCCACGTGCAGGAGTAGGAACGGGGTGGTTTTTAGTCAGTATGAGTCTGACACTAACTACCGCCTTACCCAGGCGAGAGAAGTCAATCGATGATTTTCCCCTAGTGCGCTTAAGTTTTTAACGTGTAAAATACGTATGCCCTGTATGCTAATAATAAAGCTCAGAACTTCAAAATATTGAGACTAAAAGATAGTTGAGACTTTTTATAAAAAAAATCCCAAGTATGCAATTTACCTTTAAACAGCTCAGTTCATTCGATGCTGTGAAATCCATAACAGTCTTTTAAATCTAGGAATAAAATATGTCAGTGAAAGGTTTCGAAAACATTTAATTACTCCATACTGAGAATTTTCCACGGTAGCATGTCGATATTAATATAAATAATGGAATGTTAAATTTACTTTGATCATTGATAAATTAGTTTTGGATGCAACTGAATTTTATTAATCAATATGAGATATCAGAAGTAACACCTAACATATTTATATAATAATAACTAGCTACTTCCGCGCGGTTTCACACGCTCTGCTCAGCTCCTATTGGTCGTAGCGTGATGTTTAATATCCTATTTTTTTTTTTTTTAAGGAGGGAAAATCATCGAGTGACTGCTCCCGCCTGGGTGAGGCGGAAGGGAGTGTCAGACTCTTACTGACTAAAAACCACCCCGTTCCTTCTCCTGCACGTCGAGCTGGAGCCCCGGTTACCCGTTAGGTTCTCCGCGACGTTTAATATCCTATAGCCATCCTCGATAAATTCACTATCTAACACAAATATAATTGTTCAAATCAGACTTGTAGTTACGGAGATTAGCGCGTTCAAACAAACAAACTCTTCTGCTTTATATAATAGTATAAGAAGTATAAGATAATAATAAAATTTATTTATTCAGATAACTGAGATCCATCAAAATAATAGTAAAGAAAGAACACAATCATATATAACTATAGATACAATATTAACATACAATAGTAAACAGGGACTTAGTCCGCTGCACTAATTTTCGCATCAATGGACAATCATGTCTCTCGACTACAGCAGTCAGGATACTGTGACGACTTCCACGTAGGCGACTGATGAGCGATGCAGTCTTTTTGCGCCATAACGCAGCGAATCCATCAGTGTGATCATCGGCATATATATGAATACATAATATTTTTAACGTTACCATAGATTGAATAACCGGATTAAAATCATCAACACTCTGTAATATTATCCAGGAATGTAGTCAACGACGACTATGCTTCAGTTAGCGTAACTGACAAAATTTTGATGCATTTCGTTCAGAAAATACGGCAAATTATCCGTACATACCTGACACAGGCATTTAGCCTTCAAGGATTGAAGTTATGAGGACGGAGCGCTGCGCTGCCTGAAAATACTATAACAACCTGCAAGGCTTTCACGAAAATGAGTTATTATGAAAGCTTGCAATCAAGCATAAAACAATAATGTAAAAGGTACAAAATCCGTGTTTTAAGCTAAAGCGGATTTGTAAGCGGATTATACGGATGCACTACTTCTGTATCGTGGTTTCTCCCGTGTGCTCTATCACTAAAGAACGTAGCGACGCTTCAGCTACAGATTCATTAGCATTATTCATTGCATTCAATGTGGGACTGTATGTAGCACATTAAAACCTATCTACTTCTATCTTGTTTTATTTTTCACGATTTTGAGATGACCTACTTGAGGCATATATCTGAACCGTGATGATGGGATGTGGTACGTATCATAACGTCAATTATTAAATGACTACTCCCGACTTCGGTGAGGCGAGAGGCGGTGTCAGACTTTTGAAAGATGTATTTATTTTATTTTATTTTTGTTCAATTAATGTCACACTGTGTTTCATTTTTTGTTTGACTTTGCTTGCTTTTGTTTGCAAAGCCCGAGTTATTTAAAGTCCATTGTACCAAATAATAATTAAATTCGCGGAAAAGCAACCTGATTGGAAACTGAATATTGAAAATACTATTTAGTTGTAATAAATTTTTCTCGAAAGCGTGCAATATGATCTATATCTCTTTGTCTTATTTGGATCATATAGGTATCATTATTTGGTTTCCAAAATAAATATATCTACGTTACTTTTACAATTTTCTGTAATAAAATATCAGATATTATATTTAATAGTAAAAATTGCATTGCGCTATTCTAGGAAAATCGTTCTAGGTAAAATAAAATTCTAAGGCTTAGCGTTCACGGTCGTTTTAAATCCTATCAAGGATGAGGTCCTGAAGTTTAAAGTAGAACTTATTACGGCAATTCAGGTCATGAATAAAGTGTAAATAAAAGCTAGAAAAATGTTGGAAAACAGTTTAATCATGATAGACATTATTGTAGCTGTAGATTGTAGACTTAAACGTCAACATCAATGTTACTGAAGCTAATGTGAGAGTACAGCTTCCCATTTAGAAAGCGTGTATGTTGAGGCTTTGGAAGAAATTGATTTTTACTACATTTGCCTTCACTTAAGTTTTAAGAAAGCTATTTACAATAATGGACAGTCGATGAGAATAATAGAGTGAGTAGTCTACTCAATCATCAAACTGTTCTATAAAAAATCCCATTTAAGTAACTATGATAATAATATAGTCGAATTCGCTTCTGTGGTCTGGTTAAGTTATATTAGGCTTATGATTTCAACATTCTTACTAAGAGCACAGAGTCCAGAATAGGCAAAGAAATCGCCGTTCATAACGTAGAACTTATAACAAAGTGGTAAAACATGATGAAAAGTCAGTGCTCCTGTGTGCAGTCTTCATTTACATATTTTTATCAATACGTACCTTCATCATAGTAATCGCGTGGAAGCACATGTTTTCTCTAACAGTGGGTTGGTAGGGCGCATCAGGGACCTTGTGGCGTTGGTATTCCACGTTCGATGACAGACCAGACCCAGCACTAAGTCTTTGGACCACCACCTGCAGGACAAAAGGATACGCTATTAAGGACTTGAGTTTATATAGCTTTATATACATACATATTTACATAAACACATTCTGCTCAAGTTATGACGACTACCGCCAAGGATTCTATGAAATAAAATTTCGTTACCAACCGAATAATCTGTGTCAAACAGTATTTCTGAGAAGCATTCTGGTACTTCGTTATATCATACCAAGTAACAAATATTATTTTTATTATACGTATGAATACGGTTATTACCTAAAATGTTTTAGTGGACATCCTTACTAATATTATAAATTGCAAAGTGAGTTTGTTTGTCCCGCTTTCACGCCATACCTACTAAACCGATTGCTTTGAATTTTTACAGATGTATAGTCAGAAGTCCGAATTAAATAATAGGGTACTTTTTATCCCGGAAAAATTTGATATACCCGAGGGAAAACAAAAGTATTGGTATAGATGGCGCTGTGTGCATTGGTATATGTATGTCACGTTGGCTTTTTATCCTTTTGTGACGCGAGCGAAGCCGCGGGTAAAAGCTAGTGTTGAATATAGTCCACTCATACAAAACGACAATTTTCTACTAAGTACATACATGTTCTCTCATAATATCAGAATATAAAGTTTGCTAGATTCAAATTGACACATGTGTTGCACGTCAAAGGGTAGACATAAAACATATTTGCACGTGTCGTAACCAAACAAGAACAGAATCGATACCCAAACTGCAAGTACACAAAATTCAAAACTGAATTCCAGTTTGCATGTCAGTTTGTTCGAATACTACGAAGTGACTATTTTGTGCAGACAATTTGGTTGATATTTTTCTTTATTTTATGTACTATACCGATACCTATGGGAATATATGTTAGATCCTTGTACATATAAAACTAATCGTGTCATCAATTAACTACACTTGAAGGTAAAGAAACGAGGCCACTAGCACATTTTAATTTTATTTTATTTCATGATAAATATATTCTGATACAAGTCTTTTATTTATTTGTCTTATAAAAGCCAATTTAATTACCTTTAAAATGAGAGGATTTCGTTGTATAAGGAATATTTTTTAAAAGTTAGAGAGTATTTGACAAAATTAAAAAAAAACTCGAGTGGCTCCGTTTCTTTGTAGTATACTTTATCTATTAGATTATTATTAGCCAAAGTTATAATAATTCACTTTAAGTTTAAATTATAAATTAAAGATGGCAATAGGCTCAACCCCTAATACATGGGACTCAACATAAATAGTGAAAAGTGTGTGTTACATTGTACAGGATTCAGTGCCGTAATGTGCACCTCTGCCTAACCCTTCGGGGGTAAAAGGCTTGAAAAAAAAGTTTAAAGTGAGCATGTGAGAATCCATTGAATAACACAAGTTTACCATGTAACCAAATAGAACTAACAATGAACATAGAGGTATTCCCGATAAACAGAATTATAGATATTGGGTAAGCAGGTATTATTACCTATGTACACACAATTTTGAATCACAGTTACACAAAGATAAAATCGATAAACGATTGGCTGCTGGGCAATAGGTTTCTGCGACACATGTCGCGTATATCTACGATTTTGCACGGAACAATATGGTAGTTTCCTAAATTTTATATTAATGTCCGTCTGGTACATTAATTTAAAACTTTAGACACGTATTTTTTCTTTTCTCACAAAGTTAAATACTTTCGACGATATATTAATTTGAAATATCGTGTGATGTCATAGCGTGCCACATTTTGTAGCACGTTATGACGTAACAACGTCCCATTCCTAAACTTAGCGCCATTTTCTCTAAGCATTGCAACTTAATACGAGAAAATTAAAAAATACGTATCTAATATTTTCATTATCTTACTGATAGACTAATTACATTTTTAATTTTGGTACCCTGGAAACTACAAAATTAATTTGTGTGACCCATAAATAGTTGTCCCGGGTCTAGGTGCTATGTGTATGCGAAAAATGTGTTTGTAAAAGCATAGAAAACAAACCTGTGGAGCCAGATTTAAAAACTAAAATAATAAACTTCACAAATAGGATTTTATTCATCGTCACGTCAACAAAGGTTTTTCATGGAAGTTGAAATGCAGTGAATTTCTATTCAAACAAACAACGCTCGAATTTCTATTTACCTTGATTTCAGTACATTTTGGCATTCAATAGTTCAATACAATACTATTACTATATAGTAGTACTATTACTATATAGTAATACTATTACTATATAGTAATAGTATATAGTAATACAATGATAATATTTGCGTGATAAACAAATATTTGTTTATCACGCAAATATTATCATTGTATTTTGTTGCTTTGACAAAGTTAAACAAATACCTTAATTTAAACTGTTGGTATAAAATACCAAATATTATTGGGATTTCGATGAACCGGTATTCAAAACTGTGTAAGGAAGTAAATATTATTAATTGTCGTTATTGTATTGAAGACATGTATATTCAAGTTTGGAACCATAATTATATATTCCCATTGGTCGCCTTCAGTTCCTCAACTGAGCCTACATAAAAATCCAAAATTACATACTAGGCCCTATCCACCCCTGCAATACCTACTTCGAAAACTCAAACCGAAAACAAAATGAAATCAATCTATAAACAACGTGTTCAAGTTACAACGATGAATGCAAAACTCCGTTATCAAATATCAAAACTTCAATCGAATCAGTTGACATAGAATGCGCTAACTAGTCGATCAAGAAATATTCGATTACCTGTAAATTAAACTCGATTCTAAAGCATTTATTTTACACGGAACAACTGAAAATAGTCAACGTGAATCCTTACAAACTCGGATAGCAATTTCCTAGGAATGTTATTGCATTGCGATACGTATTCAACAAGTTACCAATAAATCTGCGAAGTTAGAAACTGGTAAATAGGTATTACGCTCTATTAGGTAAGTGCTTTATTTAGTTTCAAATGCTTTGCGAGGTATTCTTTTGTTTTTATACGTGGTAATCTTTGAGGATTAATGTGCTTATGAAATTCAATTTGAATTTGGTACAAATTTAAATAACATATCCTTAAAAAAAAAACTAATAAGCCGATATGGAAAAATGGCCAGGGAACAACGGAACGCGTCATGTCATAAGGTGCGGTGAGCGATTCCTAGTTAGCATAACGAAACTCTTTATAACTTACAGTTCTACACATGTTGAAACTTTTCCCTAGGTCCGTAACGATCATGAATCATTCTTATGTTATGTTGTTCCCAACCAGATTCGCGTGATAGACTCATTAAACAATCGTAAGTATACAGTTAACAAAATTTACAGCACCTGAAGGTCGCAGCCTGTTATTGAAAAGTCAGGAAAATTATCATTTTTCGCATAGTTCCGATGTACGTAAAATAAATATGATAATTGGACAAGCTGTTAGTCATTCGTTTACTTTTGCTTGCATGTTGCCCACAACTTCGTCTGCATAGTTTTAAAGATATGAAAGATAGTCTTTCTTCTTTCAACTTGCATAGGCAAGTTGAAAGAAGAAATCTAATGTAAATAGACAAGCTTGTAACTAAGCAATATTTTCAGCGTCAAAATGGAAAAAAGTCAACTCTTCATACACAACAATTTACTTCATGTCTGTTAGAATTACGAGTGTATAAATATAAACTAATAGTGGTCAAATGCCGGCCCATCAAAAATAAAAAAAAAACTACTGGCTTCTGGCAGTGACTTGTCCGAGTTCCCGTGAAATAAAAAATGTGTTATTATAGAATATAATCTACCCCATCAGCCGTTTTGGCGTGTAAGAGCAATAGACAAACAAAGAAACTTTCGCATTCATAATTTTTAATAAACTATCAATCGATTATGTACCCAAGTTTTAGTGTACAACTCAACCCGGGTTCGTGTGTTGGTTCGTCCGTCAGTCATTCAGGACAAAGTATTTCATATGTATGTATAGATTGTTGATGCATGGAGAGGGCGCCTCAGGCACTGCAGGCCGCAAACACGAGTGCCATCAGCGAAACAAAATTACAAGGGTCCAGATTCGTTAACAATGTGCAGGACGCTTTCCATTGCATACATTTTTATGATGCACTACAATTACTATGATATCTATAGATTTTTATCATAGTAAAACTTTATGAAGTTATTGAACTTATTCCTTCAAACATTCTATAGTAAAGCAGCATTGATGACAAGCAGTATTGCATGATTTCTATTAAATTGCGTGCTTGTCAATAAAAGATAAACGCTTTATCGGGATAAATCCATGTATCAACCAACATTGTGTAACACCAAAGTTAAAACTTTCACAGAATCTCGATTAAATACGCATTTTTTTTAAAGCATAACGTTAGTTCGTGAGATTAGTGCGCACAAAAAAGTTATATTTAAGCGCTTTACAGCAGCTACACTCGCGTCAAAAATACATCAAAAATAATCCGGATTCCCAGTCTAACTTTCAGAACCATTTCGATCACTATAGTTTTTAGAAGTTTTATTTATGTTTAGGATTTCATAGCATTTTATTTGGATATAGATTTGAGTGCGCCATCCATTTTGATATTTACTTCGATATAAAACTCTATCCGAATACTAACTGTTCCTAGAAATATAGATAGAAGTCAATTCATAGCTATATCCTGCCTCCACGTCACATTTTACCTCACGGTCAGGACTCCACCAAAGATATTAACTTATCTCCTGTGGTGCAGGTTATACAGGCATTGTATTCTAACCTACCTAAGATCAGATTAAATACATGTATATGAACAAACGGGAAATAAATATATTTGTTTGTTTTTTAAAAGCGTAGACGACACAAACTAAAAGAAGGTAGTTTAAATAACCAATAAAATTTCGTTATTTCCACAACTCTTCTCTCTCAGCTTCAATGAGATCACCGAGTGGCTCCTTCATACATATCACCGCGAGTCACGCTAAGGGTCAGTAGAATACCAGCGCAAGGCCCCGTCTTGCACATGATGAAGTGGTGCCATTTCGGCGCGGACTTGGGACATATAATATACTCACACTATTACAG